AGCTTCGAACAGGTTGCCAAGAGTGAAATGTGGACAGCTTCTGACAGTAGCTGGCACCAAAGTACCTCCTGAGAAGCCCAGAAATAGAATACAAAACAGTCAGCTCCAGTCAACATAAGAACAGAATCCAAAGGGAATTCCCAAGAGACACTAAACTCTGATGGGACAAACTTCACTTTGCTCCCCCCCCCCTTTTATTGCATTATTTTCTTCATTTTTTCGTTTTGTTTTTTTGTTTTTAATGTTTTTATTAATAACTTTAGAGAAAGAGGAAGTGAGAGATAGAAACATCCATGTGAGAAACATCAATTGGCTGACTCCTGCACACCCTCTACTGGGGATCAAGCCTGAAACATGGGCATGTGCCCTGACCGGGAATCGAACTGGGACCGCTCAGTCCATGGGACAATGCTCAAGCCACTGAGCAACACTGGACAGGCCATTTTCCCCCTTTTTAATTGCTTTTTGTTTTGCCTTTTTTTCTTTCATATCTAGTTTTCGCTTTCCTTTTCTTGCTCTATTTTTTCCTTTCTCATTTCTCTTCTCTTTTCATTATTTTTTCTTTTTCATATTTTTTCTCTTTCTTTTATACTATTAACCTTTTCTTATTTTTTATTACTTCTTTCTCCCTTTTTTCCTTTCATATTGTTTTTTCTTCTTGCACTTTTTCTATTATTCTTGTTTTTTCTTCTCTTTCTTAATTCTCTTTACTTTTATGGTTGTTCATATTGTTGTTGCAGGGGTCTTTTATATGTTTTTGTTTTGTTTCATTGTGTTTTGTTTTTGTTTGTTTTTTGATCCTCACCCGAGGACATTTTTCCGTTTTTTGTTCAGATAGAGTGGGAGAGGGAGAGAGAGAGAGAAACATCGACGTGAAGGGGACACATCGAGTGGCTGCCACCCGCCCGACCAACCAGGGCCGGGGACAAACCGCAACCAAGATACGTGCCCTTAGCAAGAACCAAACCCGGGTCTCTCTGGACCGCAGGCCGACGCTCTAACCGCTGAGCCAAACCGGCCAGGGCTGTGTTTCGTTTTGTTCTGTCAGCACCTGCACAACGTGGTAAGGTTTTAGCCTGAAAGGAGATCCCCCCCATGAATGGAACAACAAAAATGAAGACCCAGTTACAACAGGAGAGCCCAAATAACCCACACAAGGGACATTCCTAGAGTGCTCTAGGAATCCAAGAGACTGCACCACTGGGTCCCACAGAACATTTAGTACAGAAGGCCACCCCACAAAGACTGGAAGGCATAATAGAAACAAACACAAAGAGACAGCAAAAATGGAGAGAAAAAGAAACAATCCCCAAATGAAAGAAAAGGAGGAAGCTCCAGAAAAAAAGCTAAATGAAATGGAGGCAAGCATTTATTAGTTATAGAGTTTAAAGTAATGGTTATAAGGATGCTCAAGGAACTTAGTGGGAACTACAACAACATAAAAAATAAATAGAAACCATGAACCAGAACCAGTCAGAAATGAATACTATGACTGACATCAAGAATACTTTGTAAGAAATTAAAAACAGATCAAATTAGGCAGAGGATTGAATCAATGATTTGGAAGATAAGGTAGAAATAGAACCTAATTAGAGCAGCAAAAAGAAAAAAGAATTAAAAACCGGGAGAATAGTGTAAGGAGCCTCTGGCATAAATTCAAGCGTATTAACATTTGCATCATGGGGTGCCAGAAGGAGAAGAGAGAAAGCAAAAAACTGAAAACCTATTTGAAAAAATGACAGAAAACTTCCCCAACTTAGTGAAAGAAACAGACATACAAGCCCAGGAAGCACAGATAGTCCCAAACAAGATGAACCCAAAGAGGTCCACACCAAGACACATCATCATCAAAATGACAAAGGTTAAAGACAAAGAGAGAATCTGAAAAGCAGCAAGAGAAAAGAAGTTACGTAGTTATCTACAAGGGAGCTCCCATAAGAATGCCAGCCAATTTCTCAAAAGAAACTTTGGCCCTGGCCGGTTTGGTTCAGCGGTTAGAGCGTCGGCCTGCGGTCCTGAGAGACCCGGGTTCGGTTCCCCCTAAGGGCATGTACCTCGGTTGCAGTTTGTCCCCAGCCCTGGTTGGGTTGTGCGGGTGGCAGCCACTCGATGTGTCCCTTTCATGTCCACTCGATGTGTCCCTTTCATGTCGATGTTTCTCTCTCTGTCTCTCTCTCCTTCTCACTCTAACTGAACCAAAAAAAAAAACAAAAAACGAAAAAAATGTCCTCAGGTGAGGATTATTTTTTTAACACTCTGATTTTATTTATTATTTTTTAAATTATTTTCTCCTTGCCCTGGCCGGTTTGGCTCAGCGGTTAGAGCGTCGACCTGCGGACCTGAGAGACCCGGGTTCGGTTCCCGCTAAGGGCGCGTACCTCGGTTGCAGTTTGTCCCCGGCCCTGGTCGGTCGTGCGGTGGCAGCCACTCGATGTGTTCCTTTCACATCGATGTTCTCTCTCTCTCTCTGTTCCTCTCTCTCCCTCCCACTCTACCTGAACAAAAAAATGAGAAAATGTCCTCGGGTGAGGATAAAAAAAAAAAAAAAATTATTTTCTCCTTTACTGATTTTTAGAGAGAGAGGAAGTGAAAGGGAGAGAGAGATAGAGACATCAATGAGAGAGAACATCAATTGGCCGCCTCCCACATGCCCCCACTGGGGATTGGGTCTACAACCTGGCATGTGTCCTGACCGGGAATTGAACTGGCAACCTCTTGGTGCACGGGTCGATGCTCAACCACTGAGCCACACTGTCCAGACTATTTTTTAAAATTTAAATTTCAGATCCGTTTGCCATTTATCCTGGGGTATATAGTATAATACTTCAATCCAACTTAAAAAAAAAAAATGGCTACTTCATTTTCCTAACAACATTTATTAAAAAGTTAATCTTTACCTAAGTCTTTTAATTACTATATGAAATATTTCCTTATACTTTCCTGTATCATTTCCTTACACTTTCTTGTATCATCCCTACTCTCAGCCTCCACCTATCCTCAGTTCAACTGAAATCCCATTTCTTTCCTGAAAATTGAAGTTTTCTCTTTATTTTTTAAAACACTGAGTAAATAGACAATATGACACTGTATAAGAGAATAAAAACTAGAATATTAAATAAGAATGTTACAAAAAAAAAAGATAAAACATGTTCAATTCATTTGATATTCTTTTTATATTCATTTTCAAACCTCTACCAACTACAGAACAAGCAAAAGGCTTAAAACATCAAATGTTTGTAATAATTGAAAAAAGATATCAACAGTCTCAAAGCCCATCAATAGAGCAATAGAGGATCAAGTAAATAAATTGTGGTTCATCCATACAGGAGGATATTACACAAAAGTTAGGAAGAAAGCTAGATTCAGATGTAATGATCTGAAATGCTATCTGAGGAATTTGTAAAGGTGGTCAAGGGGAGAAGATTGTCCTATTTTAAGAGGAGGGGGGAAGGTCAAGGAATGTTTGTGAATGCATAGAAAACCCTCAAAGAACAGAAAGTGTTAAGTGGTTGCCTCTCTCTGGAGACTGGGACTTGGAGTGGGAGAGGAGTTACAAAAATTTTACCTCTCATTTTACATAGCTTTAAGTATGGAAAACAAAAAATGTTTTAAATTTTTTATTATGCATTCACTGGTTGATTCTTGTATGTGCCGTGACCACATATGGAACCTGCAACCTTGGCATATCAGGCCAGCACTCCAACCAACTGCACATATAACTTTTATAGTTAGAAGAATAAACCTAAATTTAATGCTGAATACTATAGATCTAGCCCTGGTGGGTTTGGCTCAGTGGTTAGAGTGTCAGCCTGCAGACCAGAGAGTCCCGGGTTCTGATCCCACTAAAAGCATGTACCTCAGTTGCAGCTTGTCCCCACCCCAGTTGGGGTTGTGTGGGGGCAACCACTCTATGTCTCTCTCTCACATTGATGTTCCCCCCACCCCCCCACCCCCGCTCCCACTCTAAAGATAAATGCAAAAAAAAAAAATGTGCTCAGGTGAGGATAAAAAAAAAATACTATAGATCTAAATAGGTTAAACGTTTACATAAAAAAGAAGGATCAATGAGAGAAAATAACATAATCATCGCGCCCAGAAGTTACCTGAATGATGGTGAATCCTGATCTGAGAATAATATCTTGTATCTCCTCCTCTTTGTCAACAATATCTGGTTTGATAATGGCCAGTGTTTTCTCTACATATATCTGAGGTGGGGGCATTGATATTTCCATTCTGACTCTTCAGAGTTACAATTTGAGATTCTTGACAGTTATCAACTGCAATGATATGCATCCCCCCCACCCCAGTTAAATGTAATTGTGATTAAGAATGGCATTATTAGGCGCTTAATTTTATTAATTTATAAAGTTAGAAACTGCAATATTGTTTTCTATAAGCAGTGTTCTTAATACAGGCATACCTGGGAGATATTGAAGGTTCTTTCTCGAGTATTGCAATAGAGGGAGTGATAATCTTTTTTGCTAGTGGAGAGTCTTGCCTTCAGTTTGTAAGACACATAACACCTGTAAAGCACAAAAAGCGAACTGCAATCAAACGAGGTACGCCAATAATATGATTTCTACTCTGCGGTCGTGCCTTGGGATTTCCTAAACACTTTCTTTTTTACTTAACTTTTTCCGTCGCCATTTATCCCTTCTTTGCCCTCTTCCACCGCCACTCACCCCCCACCCCCGCAATCACCCACTGTTGTCCACGTCCATGAGGACTGAGCCAAAAAAGAGGAGAAAAAAGAGAGAATTTCTAAATACTTTCAATGAGGTGGAGGCCACGGGCAATCTGAAAGCCTGGGACTAGCGCACTTTCCAGGCAGCAGCAGGAGACTGTGTGGGCAACGTTCCGCGACACTCCAGCGGCAGGTTGGGCGGCCCCAGCTGGCCAGGACGACTACGCACAGGCTCAGGCCTGGTTGGAAAGCAAGATTCCTAGGTCCCCTGGACCTCTCCCAACTGCATCCGCAGATTCCGAGTCTGACTTGTCCAGGTGCGAGCACAACAGTTGCTAGGAGACCCAAAGCACAGTTTAGGGACGGTGGCTGCAGAGGGCCAATCCCAGCAGCACTTCACAGCCTCTGGACTGGCTCCTCTTAACCAACAAAAGGAGTCATCCACAGGCATTTTTATTCCCCTTATGAAAACTTACGAAATGTAATTTTTCTTACATTTTCCTCATAATTTATCTTATTTCATCCTTCTACTCATTTGAAGTACGCTTCAATTATCTCCATTTTATAAATGATGAGACAAAGCATAAATCCTCTCCCCTCATCTCACCTCATCCCACCCCATCCCCCTTCAATGTCAAAAACCTTCATTTCATCAAATGATGTTGTCCCTTCTATTCCCAGCTTCTGTAATCATAAAAAGCAATCTTCAGCCCTGGCCGGTTGCTCAGTGGTTAGAGCATCGGCATGGTTAGACCAATGAATCACACCTTAGATTCCAGTCAAGGGCACATACCTTGGTTGTCATTTGTCCCGGCCCTGGTTGGGTCCTGCCAGAGGCAACCAGTGGGTGTGGCTATATCATATTCATGTTTCTCTCTCCCTCCCTCCCTCCCACTCTCTTTTTCTTTGCATTTATCTTCAGATAGATTGGGGGGGGGGGGGGCACATCCACTGGTTGCCAGCCACACGACCCCAACCAGGCCAGGGACAAACTGCAACAGAGGTCCGTACTCTTAGTGGGAACCCAACCTGGAACTCTTCTGGTCCATGAGCTGACCCTCTAAACGCTGACCCAAACTGGTCAGGGCCCACTCTATCTTGATAAATGGAAAAATACCCTCGAGTGAGGAATAATAATAAAAATTTTTTTAAAAAGCAGTGTTTGGCCAGCCAGTGTGGTTTAGTGGTTGAGAGTTGACTTATGCACCAACAGGTCAACAGGGTTGGATTCCTGGTCAGGGCACATGCCCAGGTTGTGGGCCAGATCCCCAGTAGGGGGCATACAGGAGGTAGCCAATCAATGTTCTCTCTCATCGATGTTCCTTTTTTTTTTTTTTATCCTCACCGGAGGACATTTTTCCATTTTTTGTTCAGATAGAGTGGGAGGGAGAGAAAGGAAGAGAGAGAGATAGTGACGTGAAAGGGACACAACCAGTGGCTGCTCCCTCACAACCCAACCAGGGCCAGGGACAAACTGCAACAGAGGTACATGCCCTTAGCAGGAACCAAACCCAGGTCTCTCTGAACCGCAGGCTGACACTCTAACTGCTGAGCCAAACCGGCCAGGGCTCATTGATGTCTCTCTCTCTCTCTCTCTCTCTCTCTCCCTCCCTCTCCCCCCCTCCCTTTCTCTCTCTCTAAAATCAATAAAGAAAAAAAAGCAATCTTCAACTTGTGAAGTAACATTTATTTATAGAACAGTAATACAATGTTTAATCCAGATATATTTAAATTAAGAACAAAGATATGGGCAACATTTATGGCATTACCCCAAATCTGTTTCCCCCCTTTTCTTTATATTATGTCCACAGGCATCTTTGACTTCTTGGTTGTGAGTTAAGGTATTATTCCTATTAGAAAAGACAACAGAGAAATGGTAAACAAGTACTGGGATCTTCTCTAGGCCAGAGTCTCAGTGAAAGATCCAAATTCCAGAAAAGGTCAGGGTAGCAGCTCCAGGTTAACAAAACAGATTTACCATCATGCACTGGTTCTCATTCCAGACTATTTAAGTTTCTTCTTTTGTCTAACCAAATACTCAGCACCTACAGGGTCAAGGCAGATAGCAAGCTATCAATCGTAACAGCTACAGAGGTTTGAAGGCATTTTTATTTCTTTTTCCACAGTGAGATTTGACTATCCTATCATGTTACCCAGAAAAGAAACCCTCCACTGTCATCTTCTGGATACTCTATCTTATCCCTTATAGGTGTGATAGAAATGGACAGTGATTCCAGCCTCTGGTTTGTATGTTTAGCCCTCTGGTTTGAGACTCTGAAAGCAGGAGCTCCCAATACCATTACAGCTCTCTTGAGAGCCCTTCAGTGCTGTCTGCCTTCTGAGACTACTTTACTTCAGTATTAAAACTGGTCTTACTGAGGCTCAGGATTTTCCAAACCAGCAGATAAAATGTCAATCCTTGAATCACCTCTAAATATAAACTCTGGAAACACTTCAACATCACCCACCCTTATTCGCATAGACTTTCTGAAATCTGATTTCAGAGATTATACTCCTTTTTCTTGCAACTGTCTACATATAGTACCTGAATCTGCTCCAGGACTTCCCTCTGCATCTCCACAGCCATATGGTATACATGATGATCAGAGTCATTGTACATCACAGCATTTTGGAACATCAGCATCAGGTCACGCTGGAACTGTGCCATTGTGCGAATCCGTCCCTTAGACAGATTCCTTTTCAGGGTTGTTAAGTCCATGGGTCTACAGGTGGCCAAAAGAAACCAGAGGAGATCTAACCTTCATGTGGAACATGTGGTGACATAACATGCTCACTTGGAGAACTAACCAGCTTTTTTTAAAAATGTATTTTTTAAAATTGATTTTTAGAGAAAGAAGAAGGGAGAGGGAGAGAGAGAGAGAAACATTGATACAAGAGCGAAACGTCGGCTGTCCTACTGGGGATCGAACCCACAACCCAAGCATGTGCCCTGACTGGAATTGAACCAGTAACCCTTAGGTGCACAGGACAATGCCCAAACCACTGAGCCACATGGGCCAGGGAAGTAACCAGCTCTTAATGAAAATGGTAGTAAAGATAACAATCCTCATCCAGAAATAAAATAGCAACAGCAGTTAACATTTTACTGCTACTACTTAAGATAGGCCAAGTGCCATGTTAGGTACTTCCTATATTAACTCAAACATCCCAATAAACCTATAAGATAGGTACCATTATTATAACCAATTGGCAATGAGCAAACTGAGATCTGAAGGTCATTCCAATTCGGAGGCAGCCTGACTTCAGAACTTACAGGCCCAGCCATTAATTATACTTGACTACTGTAGGAAGAGTCAATGATTAGTTTGTCACATGGTAGTTATTGATTGACTATTTACAATGTATAATCATATATTAGTTTTTGTTTTTTTTCTCTCTTTTCTTAAAATCCTCACCTGAGGATACTTTTTCAAATATCTTCAGATAGAGGTAGGTGGGGGGAGAGAGAGAGAGAGGAACATAGACAGAGAGACACATCAACTGGCTGCCTCTCGCACGACCCCAGCCAGGGTTGGGAACGAACTGCAACTGAGGTACATGCCCTTGCCTGGAATCGAACCCGCGACTCTTTGGTCCACAGGCCAGTGCTCCAACTGCTAAGCCAAACCAGCCAGGGCTATATTAGGTATTTTAATCTACTTCTATTATTGCATAGTCAAAAGCTAAGAATTTTTTTTCTCCTTTCGTGGAGATGAAAAGAATGAGAATCATTCTTAAGATAAATTATTAATGAGATACAGAAAATGGGTGTATAAGAGAAGGAACAGCAGTGTAGAAAGAAGACTAAAGTGAAGGGTAAGGATCTGGGGTTTATAGTTCCAGTTCTGCTATTCACTGTTGATAATAGGCAAGTCAAGACCACCTCTGAGACTTAAGTTTCCTTAGCTATAGAATGAAGGAGTCTGTCTCCTAAGGGCCTTTCCTGATCTTTCATACTCTATTTAAACATACTGGTTTATGACAGCATTTTAGATGAAACATGCTATAAAAATCCAAAATACTGCAATCAACCAATGTTTGTAACATCATTTGGATTATGGTCTTTGCTTTAGCATACCTATAACTGTAAGAAAAAAGACACTGTTCCTTTTAAAGTTTTGCTCCAAAAGGAAAATGTCAAAAACTACGGAAGGCTAATGTAAGATCATAATAAATGGATCATATTACCTAAAATTTAACAATTAAAAAAAAAAAGCCTATTTTATCCTTTTGTTCCCTTCATTCCTTCTCAAATAAAGACTGAGCTCACCATAACTTTATAAACTTGTTCAGCTGTAAAGTATATCTTAAGTTTGTAAGTAATATAAATGAAATAATCTAATAGGTAGAAAATAAAGTATGAGAAGACATATAAAAGCAACCAACCTTTCTTGACCCCTTTTCCACTGACCTTTTCACCACATCCTTGTATCCTGGGGCCTGCCTTTCTGACACAGGCTTCAGAAATGGACTGCTGAACCTGTTAGGGGAAAAATCCAGAAAGGATAAAGGAATTGTGAAAAGTCACCCTAAATGAGAAGAGTGGCTATGAATACCAATAGTGGTTCAGAGACCTACCTGTGACTGGCAATCATCTTCCAGACTGGCAGGAGAGTCTTCTTAAACAGTAAGTGATCCTGAACAGGGTCATTCTGGCTTAGATCAGACCTATGGGATAAAAAAGGACAGAAAAGCAGTAACTCCACAAATGGCATTCTATCTCCCCCAGGTGGTAATAAGGTTTTCTCAAGACATAGTGCTCCTACTTAATATCTGAATGAATATAACACCATAAGAATAAAAACATATTTAATGCTTCCGTAAGAGACCCCAAAATCTATAAATATTCTCTTACCAATCACTATTACTCAATGAAGTGGTTACCTTCTTATAAAGTATACTACAAATCTACAATTGCTCATGCCTTTTGGTCTCTTTGCTAATTTGCTCTGTAGCACCTGTGAATCTTAGATACTGGTATAGCCCTGGCCAGTCTGGCTCAGCAGTTAAAGCATCAGACTGAGGGGTCGTGGGTTCGATTCCTAGTCAAGGGCACATACTTGGGTTGCAGATTCAATCCCTGACCCCAGTCAGGGTCATGTGGGAGGCAACCAATTGATGTGTCTCTCTCGCATCAATGTTTCTCTCTCTCCCTCCCTCCCTCCCTCCCTTCCAGACTATCTAAAAAAAAAAAAAAAAAAAATCAATGGAAAAATATCCTTGGGAGATTAACCAAAAATAAATGAATGAAATACTGGTCTATGAAACTAGTCTTCTGCGGACCAGAGAGTCCCGGGTTTGGTTCCCGTAGGGGCACATACCTAAATAAATAAATAAATAAATAAATATTTATTTATTTATTTATTTAAAAAAAAAAGAAACTAGTCTTTGTTCACTGATATTTCTCAAGTGCCTGGCACATCATAGGTGCTCAATTCAGTATTTGATAAATGAATCTGATCCTGTTTCTTATAGAAATATGCCACAATAATGCCAGGCTGGTGTGGTTCAGAGGCTGAGAGTCATCCCATGCACCAAGAAGTCGCCGGTTCAATTTCCTGTCAGGGCACATGCCCAGGTTGTGGGCCAAATCCCCAGTGAGAGGCATGTAGGAGGCAGCCAATCTATGTTCTCTTTCATCGATGTTTCTCTCTCTCTCTCTCCTTCCTCTCTCTCTAAAATCAAGAAAGAAAACATGAGGGACAATCTAAATGAGCAATGTTTCCTGAATAAAGATAGTAATTAGAGAGAAGGGTTATTTATGAAAGACATTTTTTTTTCTTTATTGACTTTAGAGAGAGAGGAAGGAAAAAGGAGAGAGATGGAAACACTGATAAGAGAGAACATCGATTGGCCGCCTCCTACATGCCGCCCACTGGGGATCAGGCCCACAACCTGGGCATGTGTCCTGACTGGGAATCAAACCGGTGACTTCTTGGTGCATGGGTCAATGCCCAACCACTGAGCCACACTGGCTGGACATGAAAGAGATTCTTTTTTTTTTAATCCTCACCTGAGGACAGACATTTTTGCATTTATCTTCAGACAGAGTGGGGGAGGGGGGAGAGAAACATCAATGCAAGAGAGACACATCGACTGGCTGCCACCCACACAACCCCAACCAGGGCCAGGGACAAACTGCAACCGAGGTATGTGCCCTTAGCAGGAACCAAAACCGGGACTCTCTGGTCCACGGGCCGACACTCTAACTGCTGAGCCAAACTGGCCAGGGCAGAAAGAGATTTTTAATGTTAATTAAACAGACTTGTTTCATAAGAGAAAATCATATAGACTTCTATTTATACAATAAAATTATATTTAATTCTATTTCTAGTGTTTTCCAACTCTAATTTCCTTTTTTTAAGAAAATTTTTCCTTTATTGATTTTAGAGAGAGAGGAAGGGAAAGGGAGAGAGAGATATAGAAACATCAATGAGAGAGAGCATTGATTGGCTGCCTCTTGCATGCCCCCCACTGGGGATCAGGCCCACAACCTGGGCATGTGCCCTGATCAGGAATTGAACTGGCAACCTCTTGGTGCATGGGTTGACGCTTAACCACTGAGCCACATCAGCCAGACTAATTTCTTTTTTAATTTACAAAAGTAATCCATGTTCATGCTAACAATTCAAATAGGCATAAACATAAGTAAAAGGATACATCTTAACAACCTTGGATAAATATCTATACTTACAGCTTTGAGGAAGTAGCATGGCTGAAAAGGATATCCACCAGAGGAGCCTTCTGAATGCTACAGCCATCATCACATTCACCTGAGGAGGGCTGTTTTTCCATCTCTGACACATACCCTTCACTCTGGTCCTCCTCTTTGGATTCTTGCTGAACCTCTCCCTGGGAATGCCAGAAAACAAAGGACACTTCAGAAATAGATTTACTGTCTACAAGGTAATTTTAATTTTTTTATTGCTTTGAGAGTGAGAGAGATTTTTTTGTTCCACTTATTTACGCATTCATTGGTTATTTCTTCTATGTGCCCTGATCAGGGATTGAACCCACAAGGTTGGAGTATTGAGTTAACATTCTAACCAACATCTATGCAGCCAGGGCATGGAGTAAATGAAAGCTGACCTTAAGGTGTGAAAAGGCCAATTATATAATGGCTTTATAATGGAAATTATAAAAATGTGACTTAACTAGACCTAAGTCAATGAATTTTTTTTTATCCTCACCTGAGGACATTTTTTCATTGTTTGTTCAGATGGAGTGGGAGGGAGAGAGAGGAAGAGAGAGAGAGAAACGTCAACATGAAAGGGACACATCAAGTGGCTGCCTCTTGCACCAGGGCCAGGGACAAACTGCAACCGAGGTACATGCTCTTAGCGGGAACCGAACCTGGGTCTCTCGACCGCAGGCCAATGCTCTAACCGCTGAGCCAAACTGGCCAGGGCAATAGTTTTTTTTTTTGTGGTATGTGCCCCTAGCAGGAACCAAACCTGGGACTCTCTGGCCTGCAGGCCAACGCTCAACCACTGAGCCCGTCAATGAATTCTTGTTAACAATCTTGCTGGAGAACTTTGACTCTATACTCCAAGAAAAAAATGAGAAAGCAATATACTCAATTCTAAATGGATGCTGTATCTTTTAAAATTTTTCATTATAATTTATGGCCCTGGAGATAACTAGTGTAGCTACTCAGATAATATTAATGACACTATAAATTCTGAATTTTACTGATTGCTATGAGCTAGGCCCTATGCAAAGTGCTTTTCATGAATTCTCTCTTAACCTCATAGCAAAACTATAAGGTAGAGAACTAATTCCATTTATAGCAGAGAAAACTGAGGTTCTAAAATGTTCACTAACATTCACACAGCAAATTGGTGCTAAAACCAGGATTTGGACCCAGGTAGTTGAACTCTCTGGAGTTCGTCTCTGTACTCTAACCACTCTGCTCTGTTTCCCTGTGCAGAGGATCAGACAGCTGGTTTAAGTTATTCACTTACCTCTTTACTCTCTGTGGAAAGTCCCTGAATTGCACAAGTATCTGAGGGAGCTGGAGCCACCTCTGGCCTTCCATTTTCTCCCAGTGACTTCTCAGCTACTAATGGTTCTACCTTAGCTGAAAGCTCTTGCGGCTCTCTGCAGGGTTCTTCTCCTTCAGTAGCTTCAATTTCCCTTTCCTCTGGTTGTCTGGTATCAGATGGGCAGCAGCCTTCACTTGATTCTTTGCTGCTAATGCACAATGGCTCCATTAAATAAGCTACCTGCAATCACAGTCTATTGTTAGATGCATAAGAGCACCAATGAAAATCATCATCTATGTATCAATAATGCTGCATGGTAACACTGCCATTGTGACTAAGCCGGAGATGGCAAATAGGTTAACTAACTCCTTCAATCATTTAAAATTTATTAAATATCTTATATACACAGGCACTGTACTAGTTGGTAGGGACCTAACAGCAAACAAGACAGATATTGTTCTTGCCTCGTCAAGGAGCTTATGTTCTACATTTTCATCTCAACTGTCAACTCTGATCAATTGGGATTGGCTAGCAAACTGATGAAAATTTTGTCTGCCATAGACAGAAGTGGCAACATTGGAATTGAATTCTTGCTGATTTTGAACAAGGTTCTCCTGAATGTGTATAGTTGCTGCATAAATATAAACTCTGTCCAATTCTGTTTATTTCTGGTCCTCAGCCCTTAACAAGAACACTGTAAAATACTGCCTTAAAGTCATAATAAGTTTCAAGGAGACCCAGCAATGAACTTAGTCCCTGCCACTGTGGAGCCTGTATTTTAGTAAACAATATTAAGAGTGGTAAAAATATGTATGGGCAAGCATTCTCTTACAGAGTTGAAACTCTTTCAACTTTGGAAATAATGACTCCCATTACCTCAGAGAGAAAGTGAAGGAGGTTCTGGTGGCTGACTTGCTCTGTCTCTTCCTGAGACTCCTCACTGCCTCCGTCCCCCATAAGCAGCTCACTAGATTCTGTCCCTGGGCTGCTTTCCTCTAGTTCCTCAGACCCTGGCTCCTCAGTTTCCCTCCAGCTGCCCACATCAAGATCCAGACTGGAGTCCCATGAGCTGAAGAGGGACCTGCAGTTGTTGCTCAACTCAGAGTCATTGAGATAGTCTTGTTCAGAATCCAACCAAACCCACTCACGCCCCATCTGTAAATACACAGAAAAAAATGCATTAAATTCATTCAAATCAATATTCCTAAGGTATTTATATCTCCCAAGTTCAGTAGAAAGCTAAGGGACCAGAAATTTATTTCTACTCATCATTAGAAACAGTAAAAGATAGCTGAAGTGAGACACCAGGAGACAAAATAATCTCTGTCATTGGAAATAAAGAAAAAGTCCCATGTCAAATAGTATAAAGATATTACCCAATAAGTATTTTTCTTGGACTTTCTCATACTCCAAAAGAGAAAGAACTGGAGCATAAGTATAATATAGGAAATATAGTCAATCATATTGTAATAAATATGTATGGTGCCAGGTGGGTACTGGGAATATCAGGGGAACATTTTGCTAAGTATATGATTGTCTAATGACTATGGTGTACACCTGAAACTAAGGCAATATTGATTGTAAATTGTAATTGAAAAATATTTTTAAAATAAAAGAATTGGACCTATTTAGCTGAACAGAATTCCTCTACCTCAAATCACCCTTAAAATCAATTACAAGGCAATAAATTTGAGGGATAACTCATATTTTCCTCAGTGTATAAACATTAACCTATCAACAATTAAATCCTCAAAATAGTTTAAGATTACCCACGATATCCTTCTGGTCATATCCAACTCTCCCTTCTCAGAATGAGAACAGCAACATCAAGTTTTTAAAATATCGTCCTTTCATTATAATACACTATCCTAATATTCTTACCCCTTTGCCTCTCCCTTTACAACTTCTAATAAATACTTATCTGTGATCTTGCTTGGTCCTCTGCTTCCTCATTAATACATCCTTAAAAAAAAATGTATATACTTTGAAGTTGCAACTTTGTCTTTTCAGGTGGCTCCCAAATCAATCTTTATGTCTTATATGCATTCTGGTCTCATTTCTCCAGGTACCCAAGGTCAGTTCCCTTTTGGTGCCCTACCATCTGCTTCAACTCAACATTTCAAAAACTAAAATCACGTATCTTCCTGATTATCTCCAAAATCATTTGCTCTCCCCAATTTCTTTATCCCCATAAATACTATTTTCTTGATCCTATTTTAATTCTTCTCCTGTATTTGGTAAGCAAGTCCACTTTCCAATTTTCTTCCAGAACCCCCTGGTCAGCTTATCTTAAACCCAATCTGCTATCAACAAAGTCTCCCTGTTCAAGGCTGTATAACAATAACCCCTCAATATGAATTTTTCAATCTGCCCCTCAGAGTTCTCAAAAAATTAAGCCTTACTTTGTTCCTTGGGCCTGGTGCCTGTATTTCATTACTCCTTAGTATGACCCCTGTTCTAATTACAAGTCTCCTTATTTCATTTATCATTTTCTCTACCAACCCAAAATCTGTCCCTTTAATGGACCTTCTCATCCACATACTTGTCCACTTTTAGGGTTTCACTGCTTATATTACATGCATGTTTATGCATTATTTGGGGGATATACTGGTTATTTTCCTGGAATAAACTCCTTTCCATCACCTCATAAAGACTGTATTCTAATTTGTTAGCATCCTAACACACTTTAAAAAGTTTTATTTAAATCAAAAAGATCTATCATCTTTCTCAAAAAGTCTCAAAATATCCTATTAATCTCCATCTCTTCATAATAAAAGGCTTATAACTAGTTTCCAGTGAGTTAATTTTTATTTAGTAAGAGAAGTTGCAATTAACTCAGATGATAAATTTGGTAACTCTTAAACTCAGTTTAGCCTTCAAACAGCAATGTTATGAATTCTAAAACACGTAAGAACCCTACATTTAGAAATAGATAAATAGTAATATACTATCCTAGAAATATCATCTGCAAAGATAGTACTAAGTACAAATGAACAAAATAAAGGTCAATGCTACCTATGTCCATGCTCTAGTCTTAGGGCAGTGTCATGAACAAAACTTAAAAACCTGTAACATTTCCCCAAACATTCAAGAAAAGCTGAATAAGAGTCTTTATTGCACAATGCAACATTTTAAAACGTTAATTATAAATCAATCTTGGTTATTTACTGTCTCTAAGCTGTAGCAGAATAATTCATTTTATAAGACCACTTTCCCTCTCTAACAAATGACAAAACAGTTATGCAAAAGAAATCACAGGTTTCACACATACACACAGAACTCACCAAAGACTAAAGTTTTCTTTCAGAGTTTATTGTGAACACATATACTTCACAGATTAAAAAAAAAAAAAAAGTCTGTACACTTCACAAGACAGTACAAATTAGCTACAATCTGCTAGTTACACATTAGGACATTAACACAGTCCATGATTTTTGCCCTAAAACAGGCAATTGTGCTACTCCAACTCTCTTGAAATTTTCCCAGCTCGTCACATGGCCCAGGTGCCTCCTCTTCTGTAACTCCCACTTCTGGAACTGGGCCCACAAGCCCAAGCTCTATCTTGTTTACTTCTTTTTCAGGTTTAGCTCATTGAGGATACTCTGAGACTTCACTTTTTCATCTTCATATCTGCTTCAATGGCACAGCGGCGCCCCCTGGTGCCCCCATCCTAAATGACAGGCAGACAAAGAAGGAGCATGAGTGAGTTGATTAAAAGATGAGAAGGTACAAGAATCTAGGGGTTTAGTTTCTTGGGATAGATAGGAATCAGCAGAAAAATACAGGAAATGAAGAGCATATATGTCGTCCCATAGACTGTGGTAAAAATCACCTGGTAGTAGTTTGTGAGAGAATATACAGGACAGAGTATCTTGCTCCTGCTGACCACAGAGGTTGCTGGAGTTCACCTGGGGTCCCACAAAATGGCTATTATTCATCCCACCCAGCCCCTAAATTATGTGTAAAGAAACAGAACAGTAAAAAAAGGTGGGAGAGTCAGAAAGGGCAGTGGATAGTAAGATTCTTGGCTAACATACCTGTCCAGCTGTTTGTTGGTCCCTATAAGAAAGGCCTTTCCTGCAGACTGACCCTGGCACTAGTTCCCTAGCACCTCCTGATAGTTGTTTTCCATGAGATCAGGACAATCAGAAGGCTTCTTTCCATCTGCTGCTCTCTCCCTGCAGCCCAGATCCTTCCTCTTGTGCAATACATTGCTGTCTTCAATAGATAAAAGATCCTATTAACCAGCCTTGTAACAGCCAGCCAATTGCTTGGGAATCCAGAGTCACTGTTGCAGGCCAATAAAAGAAAATGGAGATTATAGTGTTCTGTCTATGGTATAGGCTGAGGCTGGTAGGCAAGATGAACGAACACTTTTGCTTGGCTCGGCCATTTTTACATTTCTAACATGCAAAGGATTCTAAGATTACAGCTCACAAACACAAGTTGCCTTTGAGGCAACAGTAAAAATAAAAATACCATCTTGCATTTGTATAACACTTTAATTTTTTTTTCAAGCCAGTTCCATACCTATTATTTTATCCTCACAACATCCCTGTGAGGTAGGCTGGACAGGTAGGTCATTATATTAGCTCCATCACACAGATGAGGGAAACAAGGCTCCAAGTAATAATCCAGTCAGTTTAAGACCATGTGGTTTTTCTATCTAGCCTGATGCCCTTCCCATTATATATCATGACTCAGTGCCCCAAAATGAGTAAATGAGTCAAGACAGTCTTCAGGCTAGCTTTACTAAGCTTATCTCCAATTCCACCAGACACTACTGTCTGCAGTGGCCATTTTTACTGAGATATTTATCTCACATTTTACTGAATGTCTGTGTATCATGCATCAGTCTTGCAACTTAATATTAGGGGAAAAGATAAAAACTATGTGCTGAGTATCCACTACGAGGAACACTTTTTAAAAGCCAGCTAGCAGCAGCTGCTCTGAATTATCTTCTATTTGTAAGAAAAGAATTGGCAAAGGTGGAGTCAAGAAGTGAGGAGCGGGTGCATCCTAGATCTTTATCAATACCTCATTTCAGCCCAATGAACTCATAAAAAGTCCCTACCCAGCCCCCACACACACACATGCAGAAAGACAGGATGCAGAAGAGACAGTTTCTTATTCAATTACCTGAATGAACAGAAGTTCAACACATTGCTACAATTTGCATGTTTGATTTCCCTCTGGCACCCACCCCCAGCGGGAGCAGAGAATCTTTGGGGCAACATCACCCCTTGCAGCCATTCAATACTTACAAAGAGAGAGAGAAGGAAGGCAGGAGAGCCCATGGGGACACTGTCCTGTTAGAGGACAAACAAACACTGATCAGGTTCCACAGAAACTCTCAGCCATAAGCACCCCAATCCTCAGGACAGAGACACAAGCACCACACACACAAAGACAAAAATTTAAAACTCAAGAAGAGGAAAGAGATCCAAAAGCAATCGGCCACTATGCCTCTGGAACAGGAACTGATTCAGGTCCACAATTGCTGCAAGCTAAGTTATTTCTTCCACCTTTCAAGCACTCTCCCAGAGGAATTAGTAATTTGTTCACTCAGCTCACAATTTTGCCCATGTGACTGAGCCTTCCAGTTACAGGTTTCTTGATTGGATGGAAGCAAACCACCATTCTAAGATCAGTATGTACATCACTGGAATATAGAAGCCCAACAATACCAAGCAGTAACATGAGGTTCTTTGGATGCTTCAGACTTCTAGCACTGGAACAATGGCAAACAGGCTCTTTCTTGGTCTCCTCACCTTCTCTGAAGCATCCTGTTTGCGGGTAGAATCTCTCCCTCGAAGACTTTTAGCACTGATTCCAGACTCAGATGTTTGCATAATCAACTGTGTGGCCAGGAATTGCTGTAGGGAGAAGAAACACAGTTGGCCCTAGAGATCTGATCCAGTAGGGAAAAATTAAAGACACCCTAGGCTTTGTAAATAGGACTTCAACTAATACCCTTCTGCAATCAGCATTCAAATATTTCATGACTGATTAAAAGTGTAGCACACCCAGTTTTAATTTTCATTGTGCATTCTCAAGAATTTGAAAAGGCTAACTTTATTTATTTTTTTTCTATAACAAAAGATCAAAATCTCTATGCTCTAAGAATGAGAAAGAGAATAAAACTAGACGAAACCAAAGAGCATCGGGCAATTTAAGTAATTTGGCAGACTCTGCAGAGACAGACCACATCCCTTCAAGTTCAATATCCCATAGGGTGTCTAGTAATGCAATTATAGGTTAGAAATAGGTTATTTGTGATGACAAAGAAGGAAGAAGTAACTATTTGTTGATTGCCTACTATATATATATATTTATTTAACATAATAAAAAATATACACTCATCATTTTATAAGAATTTTATTTAAAAATTTCAGGACTGCCCAGCCATGTGGTTGAGCGCTGACTCATGGACCAACAGGGTACAGGTTCAATTCCTGGTCAGGGCACATGCCCAGGTTGTGGGCTTGAGCTCCAGCAGAGGGTATGCAGGAGGCAACCAATTGATGTTGTTTCTCTCTCTCGCTCCCTTCCTCTCTAAAATCAATAAAAACACATTAAAATAAATAAGTACATAAATAAAAACTTCAGGACTTCCAGTCAAGATGGCAGTGTAGGTAAAGGCAGTACTCACTTCCTTCCCCATAACCATATCAAAATTACAACTAAACTACAGAACAACATTCAAAACTGCCTAAAATCGAGCTGAATGAAAGTCCTACAGCTATGAAATTAAAGAAGCCACATCAAGACTGGTAGGAGGGGCAAAGGCTCAGAAGGGAGGGCCCCACACCCACATGTGGCAGATAGAAACCAGCAGGGATACCTCAGCTGTAAAGGGCCTTCCTAAGGAGTGAGGGGTTCCTGTCTCACACCAGGCCCCCCAGCTCAGCGTTCCAGTGTCAGGAGGAGAAGTCCCCATAACTTCTAGCTCTAAAACCAGTGGGAACTGAGGCTGAGGAAGGCTGAGGCTTCTGGAGTCCCAGGCAGTTTCTCTTAAAGGGCCCATGCATGGACTTGTACTCTCCGGGCTCTAGTACAGGGGAGGCAGCTTGAGGAGCACCAGAGACATACCAGGAAGAACTGGGTTGTTTGGCATCAGGGCAAGATCTGGAGTGGCAGCTTTCTCCCAGACAGATGTACTGGTGGAGGATGTTGTTCCTTTGGTGAGCCCTTCCCAATGGACCAGCAGACAGGCGCCTCCAGCAATCTGGCTCACACTGTTTGCCCCGCCCTGGTGATTCCCTAAGGACTTGCCTTCCCAACTATTGGGCCCACCTAAGCTGTTTCCAGTGGCTTTACCATAAGAATTGGCCTGTCAGGGCTCATGCTTTGAATTTTCCTAAAATCTGTCAAACAAGCAGCATCTGGCTTCAGTGAGTGGCTCCAGGCCCAGCATTAGCAGCACCCGGCCTTGGTTCATGACCTGGCCTTGCCTGGGTACCTTCAAGCTCAGCACAAGCAGCAGCCATTTGCAGATAGCTTTGTAGCTTATGCCTAGTGGCCCCGGGTAGAACACAGGCAGTGGCTGACTTTGGCCTGTGCCTCCTGGGAGGCCCCAAAGCCAACACACCCAGTGGACAGCTTCAGACCACAGCAAAGCATCACCACTCAACCACCTCCACAAGTGACTCTCTCAAGGGGTGGGCTCAGTGGGTACCAGAGGCCTGCTGGAGTAAGTCTTGCTCTGAGTGGTGGCCCCTGCACAGCTGATTCTCCAAGGTGGTCAGAAGTCAGTGGTCAGTGATCATAGCCAGTCCTTGCAGTTGATTAGCCTGAGTAAATCCCTCCCATTGATGTAACAACATCAAGACTAAATTACAACAGAAGGATGTACAGTCCACACAAGGGGTGTACCTTGAGGGCACAGCTGGGGTGATCAGGGAGGCTGTACCACTGGACCTTACAGGACACCTACTACAATAGGCCACCCTAGGAATCCTAGGAGACACAGCAACTCTATCTAATACATAGAAACAAACACAGAGCAGCAACCAAAACGAGAAGACAAAGAAATGTGTCCCAAATGAAATAACAGAACAAAACTCCAGGAAAAGAACTAAATTAAACGGAGGTAAGCAATCTAACAAACGCAGAGTTCAAAACACTGGTTCTAAGGATGCTCGGTAAACTTAGTGAGGCCTTCAAGAACATAAAAAAAGACCAGTCATGCCCTGGCCGGTTTGGCTCAGCGGTTGGAGCGTCGGCCTGCGGTACAGAGAGACCCGGGTTCGGTTTCCGCTAAGGGCACGTACCTCGGTTGCAGTTTGTCCCTGGCCCTGGTTGGTAGTGCGGGTGGCAGCCACTCGATGTTTCTCTCTCTCTCTCTCTCTCTCTCTCTCTCTCTCTCTCTCTCTCACTCTATCTGAACAAAAAATGGAAAAATGTCCTCAGGTGAGGATTAAAAAAAAAAAAGACCAGTCAAAAATTAAGGAGGTGTGCCCTGGCTGGTATGGCTCAGCAGTTAGAGCGTCTGACCAGGTTTAGTTCCCACTAAGGGCATGTACCTCGGTTGCAGTTTGTCCCCGGCCCCAGTTGCGGTCGAGTGGATGGTGACTACTCAATGTGTCTCTCTCATGTCAATGTTTCTCTCTCTCTTCCTCCCTCTCCCCCTCCCTCTCTATCTGAAGATAAATGCAAAAATGTCCTCAGGTGAGGATAAAAAAAAAAAAAAAAGAAGGAGGCTCTAACTGAAATAAAAAATAATTTGTAGGGAATCAATAGTAGAGTAGGTAAAGCTGAGAAGCAAACCATTGATTTGAAATATAAGAAAGCAAAACACACACAATCAGAACAGCAAAAAGAATGAAAAAAATTGAGGATAGCGTAAGGAGCCTCTGGGACAACTTCAAGCAAACCAACCTTCGTAACTTGGGGGTGCCAGAAAGAGAAGAGAGCAAGAAATTGAAAACCTATTTGAAAAAATGACAGAAAACTTCCCTAACTTGGTGATGAAAACAGACACAAGTCTAGGAAACATAGAGTCCCAAACGAGATGAACCTAAATAGGCCCATACCAAGACACATCATAATTAAAATGGAAAAGGTTAAAGAAAAAGAGAGAATCTTAAAAGTAGCAAGAGAAAAGCAGTCGGTTACCTACAAGGAAGCTCCCATAAGACTGTCACAGCCCCTGATTTCTCAAAAGAAACTTTGCAGGACAGAAGGGAGTGGCAAGAAATATTCAGTGATGAAAAGCAAGAACCTACAACCAAGACTACCCTATCCCGAAGAGCTATCATTTAAAATTCATGGACATATAAAGAGTTTCCCAGACAAGAAAAAGCTAAAGGAGTTCATCATCACCAAACCAGTAGTATAGGAAATGCTGAAGGGTCTTTTTTTTTTAAATCCTCACCGAGGACATTTTTGCATTTATCTTCGGGTAAAAATAAATAATAAAAATAAACAAGTAGAACAGAAGCAGACTCAGATACAGAGAACTTTTTGTTGGTTAAAAGGTGAAGAGATTAATAAGTACAAATTGGCCCTGGTCAGTTTGGCTCAATGGTCAGAGCATCGGCCTGTGAACCAAAGGATCTCAGGTTCCATCCCTAGCCTCAGTCGTTGTTGTGCAGGAGGCATCCAATTGATGTGTTTCTCTCACATCAATGTTTCTTTCTCTCTCCTCCCTTCCACTCTATCTAAAAATCAATGGAAAAATGTCCTTGTATGAAGACTAAAAAAAAAAGTACATATTGGTTGTTAGGCTGATGAACCTCAGAGGGAAGACGGGAGAAGGGGCAGGAAGAGATATACCAAAGAACTTATATGTATATATGCATAACCAATGGACACAGAGAATAGTGTGGGGAAAGCAGGAGGTGGATGGGAGTAGGGGGGAAGGAGGTCAATGGGGAAGAAGAGGGGGACCATCTAGAATACTTTCAACAAATATAAATTAAAATAAATAAATAAAAATCTTTAGGCCCGGCTGGTGTGGCTCAGTGGATTGAGAGTAGTCCCATGGACTGAGAGGTCCCAGTTCGATTCCTGGTCAGGGTGCATGCCTGGGTTTCAAGCTTGATCCCCAGTAGGGGGTGTGCAGGAGGCAGCCAATGGATGTTTCTCTCTCACATTGATGTGCTATCTCTCCCTTCCCCCCTTCTCTAAAAAATATCAATAAAAACATCTTTTTAAAAAAACTTCAGGAAATTTGCCCAAAATAGACCACTCTCTCATAACTCATTTACCAAAGCAACATGAAAAACTAACATGAATCCAAAAAGAATAAAATTTTATGTTCCTGTGTCCCTGATGGCTATTCCAAGAAAAAGCCACAACACCTCTTCTTGACATCAATGTGAATCATTCCCTTGAGTCTTTTCATTTTATCCATGCTAAAACACTGAGGATCCTCAAAGTACCTGGATCTGCTCCAGGACATCTCGCTGCATCTCTACTGCCATGTGATAGACATCATGATCCGAGCTATTATACATTACAGCATTCTGGAACATCAACATAATATCACGCTGAAATTCAGCTGTGCTGCGGATCAGTCCATTTTCAATGTTTTTCTTAATAGTTGACAAATCCATCGGCCTTAAAAACAAAACAAAACGGGTAAATGTCAGCAGAGAGGGGAAGAGGAATCAACTGGATCCCTGAATATATTATTACCATATAGATTTTCTCACACATCCCTTCAATCTCAGCTGCCAGGACTTAAATGCCAAGCCCTCATCCTGAAACATGCACTAAACCCAAACACCAAAGTCGGTCTGTATAATAAACATTGAGAAAGGTTATAAAAGGGGTTAATTCTTTAGACTATCATTGGTGATCTGCCCACAGAAATAATCAGTTTAGCAATTGGTTCACCCTTACTCACATCAAAAACATTTGATTTAAACTTACTGCCTAAAGCAAAAATCCATTAAGACTGGACAACTTACAATCCAGGGAACTCAGCATGCTGAATGGGTTATGGCTTACCTCTGCACAATGCTGTGGTAGCCAGGTGCTATGTCATCTGTAACAGGCTGCAGAAAGACATTGGCATACCTGTCCAAAGAGAAATAAGGTGTATATTTGGCCAATGTGGCTCAGTGACTGAGCATCGACCCATGCACCAAGAGGTCACTGGTACGATTACTGGTCAGGACACATGCCCAGGTTATGAGCTGGATCCCTGTCAGGGGGCATGCAGGAGGCGGTCAATCAATGTTCTCTCTCATGATATTTCTATCTCTCTCTCCCTCTCCCTTCCTCTCTCTCTCTAAAATCAATAAAGGAAGAAAAAAAAAGAAAGAGAGAATAAGGTGTACTGGTGTATCCTCCAGAAGCACAGGTGAGAGAATATGATCTAAGTGGCTGAAGGCTGTTAAGAGCCAATGCCTATAGTCCCAAATAAGCCTATTAAAATTTTTTTCTAGTCACCACCAGTGAGGAGCAGCAGGAGAAAATGTTCCTACTAATCGGTAAAGCCACCACTCACCTATGATTAGCTGCAGCTCTCCATACAAGCATGATGGCTTTCTTCCAGATTTTCTGTGCCTGAATAGCTTCCTGATCCTCACTACAGACAGAGCTAAAATAAAAGAAATACAGAAGTTCCACTAGGCATAAAAAGAAAAAAATTCCTAATTATTTCTTGTCAACTACAGGCATACCTTGTTTTATTGCGCTTTGCTTTACTGAGCTTCACAGATGTTACATTTTTTACAAACTGAAGGCAAAACCTTCCACCAGCAAAAAGATTATGACTCGCTTTATTGCGATACTCAGATTATTGTGGTGGTCTGGAACCAAAACCGCAGTATCTCCGAGGTATGCCTGTATTTGTTCCAGGCCAAGAAAGGGAAGATGAAAAAGTAAGATTAAAGAAAAGATCCTCTCCTACTTCTCACCTTCACTGCCTTGACCTCAAAGGAAGAATCTTAGATACTCACAACTGTGAAGAAGCAGGGCTGCTGGGGATGGAGTCCGCCAGTGTGTGGGACTGCAGCGTAGCATTGTGTATACTAAAGCCATCATCACTCTCACTCACTGGGGGTTCGTTATCCATTTCTGACAAATAGCCTTCTCCTTGATCTTCTTCCTTAGGCTCCTCTAGGCTGGCTGCTTCACTAACTCCGTCTTCCTCCTCATCCTCACCTGGGGCATCCTTAGACACGTGTGTTCCAGTTAGCAAATACAAACAAAACTATCATGCAAAGCATCATTAAACATGATCTGCCCTTTGGGTTAGATTAGTTCTAGAAAATGACCTCACACTATTTCCTGACTGAGCCCTCTATCACTTATATTACCATCCACTTACAGACACTGACTGATCAAGTTATTTAGAACCTGGACAAAGCCAGGACCTTTTTATAAGGAAGAAACAAAAAAAGCTACTTACTTAAGACTAAGCTAAGAGGCGTTCCTTCTTTCCCCTTGCTCTTGAGAGGAACTCTGACCCTGGGTACAAAGTTATCAAAAATAGTTTTTATTTTGTGTCTCATCTGATGGAGCAAGCTCACACCGCTTTATTTAAGTCTGTTTGTTACTACTACTTTAATAATTCTAAAAAGAAAACTTTGGATGATTTTCTCTAGATAGTACAGTTAGTATTATCTGATTTCTTATAGGTTCTCTCTGGCTCTAGTATCCCTATTCATTTCAAATCACTCCGAATATATCAAAGCTTCTTTGTGCATCATATGCAAAGGTCTGTGTGATGCTCACAAACTTTCAGATGGGAAGCACACGATGCCATAATACTCCCACTATACCTACTGTCCACTGAAGCTTTTCCCCATGCGACTCCTTAACCAGTCTCATCTCAGAAAATAAAGATGTGAGTTTACTGACATTTATTAAAAAGGTAGTGCTATAGGGAAATCTAGTCACACACCAAGAGGAATAAAGAAAAGTCTGAAATACCTTTATCTGGCTTCCAAAAATAGTCCCTGATTCTTCTTTCAATGAGTCTGCAGAGGAGAGAAAGACTACCTGAAGATTTTTCCACCTTAGCCTTCCCCTTCCTATGGACAAGAATCCCCTGCAGCTCTCCTTTCCATGCTGACCTAGTCTACCTCCTCTACTTGCCCACAACCCACAATCCCTCAGAAGCCAAAGCAAATACTTTTAAGTTAGTTATAGGATACAGATTTCCTGGCCTTATTATTTACCTGACATTTCAAATTTGTGCTGAGTCTCTGCCTCTAAAGGATCATCAATGGGATTTGAGCCATGTGATGGAGATAACATGTTTTCAGGGGATGCCTGAAGACCAAAAAGAACAAACACGCTAAGTACTGGTAAATCACTACAGCCTACACAATTTTATTCTTCAATGATAATTCTAAGTCCTATCCATGTAATTTGATTCTAATATACACCTTAACAGAAATAGCATATGAATATACATATACCACTGATCACACCGATACCTTCAGAAACATCAAACATGTTAGAACTCAGGAATGCAACAACCAAAATAAGAGGCCTAGCCCTGGTTGGTTTGGCTCAGCGGTTAGAGTGTCGGCCCGTGGACTGGAGAGTCCCAGGTTCGATTCCTGCTAAGGGCACATACCTCGGTTGCAGTTTGTCCCTGGCCCCGGTTGGGGTCGTGTGAGTGGCAACCAGTTGGTGTGTCTCTCTCACATCGATGTTTCTCTCTCTCTTCCCTCCTGCTTTATCTGAAGATAAATGCAAAAAATGTCCTCGGGTAAAGATAAAAAAAAAAAAGCAGCCTAAATTTTCATTTCTTACCTAAGATAATCCTCCATCCTCCCAGGCCCTTATTTTAAATACCTCTGTCTTCACAGCTGTAAGTGGGGTCTCATCGCCTTTCCCACTGGCAACATCTACTTCAGCAATCTCTCCAGTTGCAGTACTTCTGGGTTCCTCTTCTAAGTCTTGACTCCTGAGTTCTGGTGGCTCCATACATGTGGCTGGAACAACTCCAGGGACTAATTCAGCCCCTGAAATGCCTTGCTCTGGTTCTGCAGGTTCCATTTTGATGTCAACACTGGGTTCCCTGATGTCCACCAATTCATGGATTCCTTTGTTTTCTGATTCCTCAAAATCCAGCCTCTCCTGCTTGACTGTCAACTCTGGTGCAGAGAGAGGTACCGATTTGTCCCGTTCCTGCTGAATAGGGTGCTCCCAGGGGCCAGGCAGAGACTGAGGATCATCATTCTCTTCACAGAACGATAATGCCGCTTCCACTGCTGCCACATCCAGCACTTCAGGATGATCATCTACCTGTCCCATAATACAGACACTGTTTAGGTCACAGAAAGAAGCCAAATTACCTCAATTCTATTAGCACAAAGGAGATGGCCTGAATCTGCAGCGTCTCTACCTTCTCCACATAGTAAGAAGCAACCAATGGACAGACAGTTGTCCTGAGCAAACTAGGTTCGGGAGATGACTAGTACGCCAGCACCAAAAGGTTTTGGGACTATAGTGATGGAAGTGGGTAGAAGCAGGAAAGTTGTTTATGTAACTGCTACTACGAGTAGCAAGGAGAGGCTGAGAAGAGAAGACTATGTAGGACTCACGAGAGATTCTTTTGGGATCTGTTGAATAGTTACCTTGTCCTCAATGATGGCAATGATGTCTCCAACAGTCTCAAAGTCCAGCTCTTCACCTGTGTAAGACACAGCAATATCCATCTTCTCAGCCAGATCTAAATCTTCTTTCCCATCTATGCTGGGAGCCTTTGATCCTCCAGAAGCTTCTGCTACCCCTGATCGGAAACATTCTTCTTTGATAGAATTGATGATCATGGAGATTTCACTGCTATCCATAGAAACAGTCACAGTATGTGGATCCCCCACAGCCTCCATGGGAACACAGGTGTCAGACTGACTCACTGATAACAGGAAGAGAAAAGCATCTCAGAAGCTTATGTAGAACCAAGTGACCACCTGGAGTTCATACCAAGGATGTAGACAGATGTCAAGTACCCATACACTAAAGCTCAGAAACAGTCATCTTACATCTGTTTCGTTTTCTTCTCCCTAGTTTTATCTAGAAAGTAAGCTGAGAACTTATTCTCAAGCCCACTCCTATGTGTACACTTGGTCTTTCACCCAACACAAAAATTCCCACCCACCTCTTCTCACATCCTGGTTTTTCTAAGGATAAAGATGGCAAATGTCCATGGAGAATACAACAGAGACATCTGAATTGGAGCTGATGCTCCTGATCACCTTTCTCTAACTGAAGCTCAAGATAAAATTTGGACCTAGTGGCTGCTCAGGGCGTGGGTCAGGGACGCACCTGGAGCTACACTCTCAGGAGTGGAGACAGCCGGAGCAGAGGATGGTGCTGGTAGCGCAGGCATCATGACAATGGTAGCCTGGGAAACAGACTCTACAGGGGGTGGCACAAGTTTAACTGGAGACTCACTGGCAACAGTAGTGAAGGAAGCAAGAGGTGTGGTGAACTGTGTAGGACCAGCTTCTAAAAGCCGGGAAAGAGTGGGAGCACCTAACAGACAAAGAGGTACACAAAATGAGGTAAGAAGGAAGCACATGAACAAGAAGCAATAGACACTTTAAGACACAACCAAGAAAATTTTTAGTCTCAAAGGATGAAAGCAACTCCTGTTGAATAAGCTCATTACCTATATCCTTACTTTCTCCAACCTTACTCAAGACCTTCTCCCAACTTAGGAATGACCCAAAACACTAGAACACACAACATATATAAAAAATAGGCGGTAATTTTTCCTCAGAAAAAAATTAAACATAACAACAACAAAAAACTGGTATAAATAAAAATGTCACCTCTGCTAAAGTTAAGTGTGCCATAAATCACCCAAATTCAACACCATTCAAATGCCAATATCTAATGTTTGTTTGGTATTTTGTAAAGGACTTTTTTTTTTGCCTTACATTTTCTACTTCATTTAATTCTAACTACACTTTTGTAAAGTATATACACTGCAATTAATAAGAGTACATTGAGCCTGGTCGGTGTGGCTCAGTAGCTGAGCATGGACCTATACACCAGCTGGTCCCCGGTTCAATTCCCAGCCAGGGCACATGTCAGGGTTACAGGCTCAATCCCTAGTGGGGATTGTGAGGGAGGCAGCCAATTGATGTTTCCCTCATCATCGATGTTTTCCTCTCTCTCTCCCCCGCTCTCTGAAATCAATAAAAACACATTTTTTTTTAAAAAAAAGAGTAAACTGAGGCTCAAGAGTTAAGCTACCTAGCCAAGGTCACAAAACCAGAATGTGGTAGGATTGGATTTGAGATTCAAATCCAATTCCCTGGATCTAAATCTCACCCCCCTCTACTCTGTAAACTCAGGTATTAACTTCTCTATTCTTCTCATTAATATCTATGCTGTGTTCATCCAGGGCTATCAATACTTTGAAGATGAAATGTATTTAAAATCTGGGGCACTACAGGATTTAACAGGTAAATAGCTCCAAGGTTGGGCTTTAAATCTGACTAAAAACTGCTTAGTAACAAAGGCTGGAAACCAAGGACCATTAATGCCAAGTTCAACATTTCTGAAGTACAGTAGATAATGGAAAAGTGGTGACTTACCTGAGGCAGCAGGGGAGGCTGCAACAGTGTTGGGTGTTTGCTGCATCTCCCCACCATGTATCATGGGAAGGACCCCGCCTACCTCCAGGAGGACACCTGTACTGTTCAGGTGGCCAGAAGCCACAGCCATTTCACTCTCATTGACCTACCAGGGAAGAATAGAGGTGAAGGCTACACTCAAGCTTTCCTTTACTACCATTTCCCAAAACAGCTCCAGCAGTTGACCAAACTTTACAAAACCAGAAGTTAATATCCAAAGAGAATAATTTCAGACCCAAGGGAAACTCTAATTTTCAAAACTTATTTAATGAGAGTTCTCTGGAGAAGAGAACCAAAATAATTACGGTTTCAAATACCTCAGGATCCAAGAATGCTATCAACTTACTGTATAGGTTTTGGGTGGTTTTTTTTTTTTTTGGTTTGTTTTTCCCTTAATTAACATTTAACTAGGAGATCTCTTCCTCTTTTGAACCTTTTTGTCCATGTCATATTTTAGGTCCCAGGCACTCCCTTCCAAAGTACTAAGTCACCACAGCTCTCAAACACCCACAGAAGTCTCCATACCAGTCTGGGGCTAGTAGGCAGGAGGCTGCCCTTCTTCAAGAGCTCTGACAGCAGAGGGGAGGGGGGTGGAGTTGCTTTCTGTCCAAGCATCTTTTTCTGGGGTGAATCATCTGTTACTGGGGTCATGGGGGCTTCTAAGGGTGCAGAGCCTGGAGGAAGGGTGTCAGGAATCCCAGGAAACGAGGTGACTGGGGTACTCGGCAAAGTCCCAGGGGTTACCTAAGAGACAACAGAGAACCTTTATCTGACTTCTCAAACTCTGAAAGGTTCCCTATTAATCTGGATGGGTTAGTGTGTCTAACTATTATTTTATTAGTCCTGAGTGGAACTGCCCAGAAACCCTCTACCCTCCTCCTGCTCTCAGCCACAACTTTCTTCCCCACAATTTTTTATTATACCTACACATTCACAATGACCCAACCATTCCACCCAACCTACCTTTTACAAACTTCTTATCCACTACCAATATTATATTTACAAAATAATTCTCTCTTAGTTCAGCAGAAATTTCATAGGACTTACAAACAATTCCTTGACAGAGTCTTTTACCTATCTCTCAAAAGGTCAAAGTCTCAATATTTTTAGGTCCATCCTTATCTTACAACACAGAACAAGGTAAATTAAGTAGCATTCAGACCAAGAGAGAAAGTTGCCTCCAGGCCAAAAATGGTTTCCTCATCACTCAGCTGTCTGCTGGCTTACTGCCCCTTTGCTGATTAATTCCTACAGATAAAAATATACTCACCCCAGAGGCAGCCTCTTCCATAGTAGTTGCAGTCAAGTCCCCAAGTGGATAATCATTTCCTGGGGAAGCAGAATCTATAGGAGATCGAACCATCACAGTAGGTAACCTCCGAGGTGGTGTTTTTACTGCTTGACGAGCTAGAACATTTAAGAGAACAATTTATAAGTCTTCAAGATTAAGTAAATGAAACTAGACACTTCTTGGCTATTATATAATAAAGGACAAATAGAGATATTTCATTAATAAAACAGCATTATAAGTTTGGATTAGAAAGTTTTCTTTAGCCCAGCCGGTGTGGCTCAGTGGTTAAGCACTGACCCATGCACCAAGAGGTCGCCGGTTCGATTCCCGGTCAGGACACATGCCCAGGTTGTGGGCACAATCCCCAGTGGGGGTCATGTAGGAGGCGGCCAATTGATGTTCTCTCTCATCAATGTTTCTCTCTCTCTCTCCTTCTCACTTCCTCTCTAAAATCAATAAAGGAAAAATAAAAAAGAGAAAGTTTTCTTTAACACTTCTGGGAAATAAGAAAATTACCTAAGAGAAATTCTTACATTAAGCAAACGTTTCAACTATTCAATTATTCCAAAGGCCCTTTGGAATAGGAATTAGTTTAAACACCCCTCATTAGCTTATTAAGATTCAGCTTTTAACAACAGGGAAAAACTTCATTGACTCAGAGTACATATTCCTTGAGTTCCTCTCCTTACTCAGTGCCTGGGCTATTCTCAATCTTTTTATGTAGTCCTTTAACTTCTAAAACCTTAATTATGTTCAATATCTTATATCACGCCTTTGTATCCTAAAGGACACAAGATCTAAGTGAGATCTGAGCACAGCTAATTTTCTAACTAGAGTTCCTTCCTGGACACAAAGGGATTTTTTAATATGGTAAAAAAGAAGATGATAAAGGAAAGTGTGAAAGTAAATTAGAATCAGTGGATTCTACACTACAAAACAGTTTTCAACTGTTATTAGCATGCAATACTGTATGGTCAATTGCTAAATAATTAGTAGGCTCAGCTTACCTTGATATGCAGCATCTGTAGCCTTCCTCTTTACTTCAGCCTCCTCTTCCTCCAATTTCTTTTTCCTAAAGAGGAAATTAAAGGATAGATCTTACCCAGCTCTGGCTCCTGCACAGTCCACAGTGCCTCACAAGAAAAGTTTTTGCCAGGCTAGTAGTTTTTGGAGAAAAGGTCTAAAAGGGAACCCTTATCAGCGAAACAGAATTCTGAGTATGCTGCCTAACTACCAGTTCTTCACCTACACAAACTAAAGCCTCTTTTAAGTTAGAACTAAGTTATGTCATTACCTTCTAAGACTCACCCCCACTCCCCACCCCCAGCTACCAGGCCGCTCTGCAGCTTTCTCCTTACGAATCGCTCAAGTCTAAAGGAATGACAGATGGAGGAAATAAGCTATTCAAGGGGGAGGAGTGTTAAAAGACAGAAAGGAGTATAAATAAAAGAATAATATAATATAACCCACATTGCAATGTCATTGCAAAGTTTATCCAGTCTGCTGTCCATGTGTCCAGCTTGAATTAGTTCTGCATCTCTTTTCAGTCGTCTGTAGGAAAAAAGAGAGGTAGGTAGACTGAGTTTTCTAATCTGCTACTTATAACACTCTGACTAGTTTTAGAAGTCAGCCCCTTTTGTCTCTCCCAACCATTTGGCATCTCTCTGATACGTACCTATATTTTTCCTGGGTTTCCTTTATCACTTTCTTTAGTTCCTCAACTCGTTCAGCAGTCAGTTTCCGAACAATTACATCTTCAACAGTTTCCACCACTTCTCCCTTTTCACCCCGTTTCCGTCTGTGGAAAATTAAAACACACACACATTTGAGTAAGAGAACATTTGTTCCCACTCCCACTTGCTTTCTTTGAGCCCTCTCCACCAACTAACCACAGATAACTTCTATTATACTTTTATTACCCAGTAACATAAATAGATATAAACTAGATTTCTTCAGTAAACACTCTCCACTAAAGAGATTTAGCTTGAGTGCTAAAGAGATTTAGCTTTGTACTCACTTTGGGGTCTCGGTGGTTTCCAGAAGCTCAGAGTACTGAGAAGCACAATGCTATGGGAGAAAACAAAAGTGCAAATATGATAAGCAAGCTGGAAAAAGAATGACTTTTCAAAGTTTCAACATATTAAACTAAGGTTTAAAGAAGGGAGACATGAATGTTTCTAGGAAAACAAATTACTTAGCATCAAATCAGTTCAAATAATCAATACCAAGACACAGACAAGGAAGTCTCCTGACCTGGAGTTTGAGTATTTGGAAAAACAAAATCTAACAGCCAATATTTATAGCTAATATCTACTGAGTAGTTATCATATGCAAGGCACTGGTCTAAATACTTTCTAGGTATTAGCTCCACTTAATCTTCAAAACAAACTTGAAGCAACTTTTATCTCTATTTTTCAAATAAGGAAACTGAGGATCATTATTCAAAATTTTGTGTGTTTTTTTTGTACAGATAGAGTGGGAGGGAGAGAGAGGAAGAGAGAGAGAGAGAGAGAAACATCGACGTGAAAGGGACATATCGAGTGGCTGCCACCTGCACGACCAACCAGGGGCGGGGACAAACTGCAACCGAGGTACATGCCCTTAGCGGGAACCGAACCCGGGTCTCTCCAGACCGCAGGCTGATGCTCTAACCGCTGAGCCAAACCAGCCAGGGCTATCCAAAGTTTTTAAGTGGTGTCATATTAAACCCAGATCTATTTAATTACCAAGGTTGGGCTCTTAACTGTTATGTACTGACAATAATAGTTTATAAATGAACACACATGGATGGCTTAGCAAACAGCAGAAGAAAAGGTATTCTCACCCTGGCCAGAGTTTGGCTCAGCAGTTAGAGCATCAGCCTGAAGACCAAAGAGTCATGGGTTCAATTCCGGTCAAGGGCACGTACCTCGGTTGCAGTTCATCCCCAGCCCTGGTCAGGGTCGTAGAGGAGGCAACCAGTCGATGTGTTCCTCTCAAGTCGATGTTCCTCTCTCTCTCCCTCCCTCCCTCCCACTCTATCTGAAGATAAATATCCTCGGGTGAGGAATAAAAAAAGAAAAAGTATTCTCAACTACTCTCCCTCTTTCTGGCATAAAAGCCTTGTGATGAAAAGGCAGGGAACCCAGTTCCCATCTCAAAGACTACTCTAAAAGAGCACTTGCTTAGAAACTTACTTTTTGAGAGAACCAGTCTGGAGGGCGGCCAGGTTCTGCAAAGGGCTTGATTGCTCTGCTAACCGATACCCTAAAAAGTGAAATAAGCATTATACACCCCCCCCCCAAAAAAATGAGGAAAAGTACACTGAGAGTTCAATATTTGGAGTACAAATCTTGGAATAAAAAACTGTCACTGTGAAGTAGATTGTAGTATGTGACTATGGAAAATGACACTTCTTGAGTCATTGCTAAACAGTTTTCCTAAGTGATGTATTTCCTGGGTGAAGTGAAGATGTTAGAACCTAATCAAGTATCCTTTCTGTTCACTGAGGGAAATATTTTTGTTAACTTTGGTTTCTTGGAATATATTTGTCTTTGGAAAAGCAATGTGTAATACATCACAGACCTGAAAAGTTTCTTTTGACCCACTAATATACCTCCTAATAATGTAATACAAGAAAGCAATGTAACAAAAGAAGCAAATACCAAGAAGAAAAGTACCATGTAGACTTGATCAGAGTAGTAACAGTTAAATTTTTCCTAAATGCCTGCAAGAGGATGTTTAACTTATGGCATTTCAACTCTATGAACTATTAAACAGTTCATAAAAATAACTATAGCCCAGCAGGTGTGCCTCAGTGGTTGAGCATCGACCCATGCACCAAGGTCACCAGTTCGATTCCCAGTCAGGGCACATGACCAGGTTGCGGTCCAATCTCCAGTGGGGGACATGCAGGATGCAGCTGATCGATGTTCTCTCTCATCGATGTTTCTCCCTCTCTCCCCCCTCTCTCTAAAGTCAATAAAGAAATATATAAATAACTATAAAATACATGTGATGATATGGAATAAATTTTAACATTATTAACTAAAACAAAATGATACAACTTCGTATGATGCAATCATACAACCTTTTAGAAAGTTATAGGAATTGCCCTGGCCAGTTTGGCTCAGCGGTCAGACCACTGGCCTGCAGACCAAAGAGTTGTGGGTTCGAGTCCCGTCAGGGGCATATACCTTGGTTGTGGTTTGGTCCCCGTCCCTGGTCGAGGTTGTGCAGGAGGCAAACAATTAATGTGTCTCTCTCACATCGGTGTTTCTTTTTTTTCCCTTTCTCTCTCTCCCCCGCTTCCTTCAATTCTATCTGAAAATAAATGGAAAAATATCCTCAGGTGAGGATAAAAATAAGTACATAAAATGTAGGTATAAAGACAAAGAAACAAGCAAAAATGAAAATAGTTGGACTGGAATGGGATCAAGGAAGAGTGTAAAGGGGCTTCACCTGTGTCTGTTTACTTCTTTAAAAGGAAAACATGACATAATATTAAGATTTGGCCGGCCCGAGTGACTCAGCCAGTTAAACATCACCCTGTGTACCAAAAGGTGGCGAGTTTTGATTCCCAGCCCAGGTTGCGGGTTCTGTCCTGGGGCAGGTGCATGTAGAACGCAACTGACTGATGTTTCTCTCTCACAATGATGTTTCCCCCCCGCCCACTAAAATCAATAAAAATATATTTACCCCTGGCCGGTGCTGTTCATTGGTTAGAACATTGGCCAATGCACCAAAGGACTGCGAGTTAGACTGCCAGTCAAGGGCATGTTTAGATCCCCCATGAGGGTGAGTGCGGGAGGCAAATGATGATGTGTCCCTCTCAAATCTCCCCAACCTCCCTTTTCCACGCACTCTAAAAATCAATAGAAAAGATACCCTTGGGTGAGGATTATAATATAACGTGTGTATGTGTATATATGTGTGTATACACATATACAGAATGTGTGTGTGTGTGTGTGTGTGTGTGTGTGTGTGTGTGTATCCCTGGCCAGTTTGGGTCAGCAGTTAGAGTCGGCCCGTGGACCAGAGAGGCCCGGGGTCGGTTCCTGCTAAGGGCATGTACCTTGGTTGTGGTTTGTCCCCGGCCCTGGTTGGGTGGTGTGGGTGGTGGCCACTCGATGTCTCTCTCTCTCGTGTCAATGTTTCTCTCTCTCTCTTCCTACCTCTCTCCCTCCTGCTCTATCTGAAAATAAATGCAAAAATGCCTACAGGTGGGGATAAAAATTTTTTTAAAAATTAAAAAATATATATATAAAGATGTTACACCTAGGTGCCAAATACACCAGCAATCTTATTTATTATTCTCCACACTTCCATTTCTCTCTCTCTCTCTTTTGGGGGTGGGGGACTTAATCCTCACCCAAGGATATTTTTTCATTGATTTTTAGATAGAGTGGGAGGGAGGGAGGGAAGGAGATACATCAATGTGAGAGAGACTTATCAATTGGTTGCCTCCCACATGACCCCAACCAGGACTAGAGAACAAACCAGCAACCCAGGTATGTGTCCTTGACTTGAATCAAACCCTCGACCCTTTGGTCTGTGGGCTGACACTCCAACCACTGAGCCTAACTGGCCAGGGCCACACTTCTCTATGAGGTTGAAATATTTCATAACTTTAAAAAGTTTTAAAATTTTGTGTAGTATTAATAACATCACAGAACACTTTATTTTTTTCAATCCTCACCCAAGGATATTTTTCCCCCCATTTATCTTCAGATAGCATGGAAGGGGGGGAGGGGGGAAGGAGAGGGAGCAGGGGGAGAGAGAGAGATCAATGTGAGACACATTGACTGGTCGCCTCCAGCACAACCCCCAAACGAGGCACATGCCCTTGATTGGAATCATATCCGTGACTCCTTGGTCTTCAGGCCAACACTCCAACCACTGAGCCAAACCGGCCAGGGCCACAGAACTCTTTTTAAAAGAAAACTTTACTTCAACATTGTTATATAGATAGCTATAACCAAAAAATAAAGTTTGATCCGTAATTTACAACTTATAATGAGACAAGTCCTAAATGGACTAAAGAGTTAAATGCTCAAAAAATTTAACCATGGCCCTGGTCAGCTTGGCTCAGTGGTTAAGCATCGCTTCTCAGACTGAAGGGTCTCAGTTTTGATTCCTGGCCAAGGGCACATACCTGTGCAGGAGGCAACCAATCATGTGTCTCTGTCACACTGATGTTTATCTCTCTCCCTCTCTTCCTCCCTCCCTTCCACTCTATCTAAAAAAGATCAGTTGAAAAATATCCTCAGGTGAGGATTAACAACAAAAAGTTAGTAATAAACATAATTAATCCAAAAGACCTGAGCACACATTTCTCTAAAGTAGACAAACATATGGTTGATAAGCATGTGAAAAGATGTTCAAAAATATTAGGCACCAAGGATATGCAAATCAAAACCACAATGAGATATTTCATATCCACTAGTACAGCTATAAAAAGACAGACAGACATTAAGTATCGAACATAGAGAAATTTGGGTCCTCATTTATTGCTAGTGGGAATGTAAAATGGTGGGTGAAGCTACTGTTAAAAATAGTTTTGCAGCTCCTCAAAAAGTTAAACATAGATCTGGCTGGTGTGGCACAGTGGCTGAGCACTGACCTATGTACCAAGAAGCCACGAGTTCAATTCCTGGTCAGGGTACATGCTGGGGTTGCGGGCTCAATCCCCAAAGGGGGCTTGTGCGGGAGGCTGCCAACTGATGTCGATGCTTCTTTTTCATGGATGTTTCTATCTCTCCCTTTCCCTTCTTTTCTCTCTCTAAAAAAAATCAGTATGGCCCTGGCCGGTTTTGCTCAGTGGTTAGAGCGTCGCCTGCAGTACAGAGACCCGGGTTCGGTTCCCGCTAAGGGCACGTACCTCAGTAGCAGTTTGTCCCCGGCCCTGGTTGGTCGTGTGGGTGGCAACCACTCGATGTGTCCCTTCACATTGATGTTTCTCTCTCTCTCTCTTCCTCTCTCTCCCTCCCGCTCTGTCTGAACAAAAAATGCAAAAATGTCCTCGGGTGAGGATAAAAAAAAAAATCAGTATGTATATATGCGTAATCATGGACACAGACAACAATGGTGGGTATTGGGGGGGATCGGGAGGAGGGTGTCAATGGGGGAAAAAGGAGAAACATCTGTAACAAAAATAAATTAATAAAAAAATGAAAAATGAGAAAAAAATTAGCTTAGCCGGTGTGGCTCAGTCGTTGAGTGTCAATCCATGCACCTAGAGGTCACTGGTTCAATGCTGGGTCAGGACACATGCCCAGGTAGTGGGCCAAATCCCCAATAGGGGGCATGCAGGAGGAGGCCAGTCGATGTTCTCTCTCATGGATCATTCTCTCTCCCTCTCTAAAATCAATAAAGAAAAAAAAAAAAAATCAATAAAATCATTAAAAAAAAAGTTAAACAGAGTTACCATATGACCCAGCAATTCCACGCTTTCAAATTCAAGAAAACTGAAAACAAGTGTCAGCACAAAACTTTGTACACAAATGTTCATAGCAACATTGCCAAAAAGTGGAAACAACACAAATGTTTATCAACTGGTAAATGGATAAACAAAATGTGGCACTCATAGACTGTTATTTAGCCACAAAAAGGAATCAAGTACTAACACCTTGAAATTACTCTAAGTGAAAAAAATACAGTCACCGAAGACCACAAATAATTATTTCATTTATATGAAATGTCCAGAATAGGCAATCTACAGAAAGTAGATGAGTGATTGGGCGAGGTAGAAAGGAGACTGTAGAGTAACTGACAGTTGTACAACTCTGTGAATACACCGGGTTAATTTTATGGTATGTAAATTATATCTCAATAAAGCTGTTAAAAAATAAATACTGCTGCCCTGGCCGGTTTGGCTCAGCGGTTGGAGCGTCGGCCTGCGGTCCGGAGAGACCCGGGTTCGGTTCCCGCTAAGGGCATGTACCTCGGTTGCAGTTTGTCCCCGGCCCTGGTTGGTCGTGTGGGTGGCAGCCACTCGATGTGTCCCTTTCACGTCGATGTTTCTCTCTCTCTCTCTTCCTCTCCCTCCCACTCTATCTGTACAGAAAATGGAAAAAAGTGTCCTCTGGTGAGGATAAAAAAAAAAGAAAAGAAAAAAAAAAATAAATAAATAAATACTGCTGCTCTGGCTGGTTTAGCTCAGCGGTTAGAGCGTCGGCCTGTGGTCTGGAGAGGCCTGGGTTCAGTTCCCGCTAAGGGCATGTTCCTAGGTTGCAGTGTGTCCTTGGCCCTGGTTGAGTTGTGTGGGTGGCAACCACTCGATGTGTCCCTTTCATGTCGATGTTTCTCTTTCTCTCTCTTCCTCTCTTTCCCTCTTGCTCTATCTGAATAAAAAATGAAAAAATGTCCTCAAGTGAGGATAAAAAAAAAATTTTTTTAAATAAATAAATAAATAAATACTGCTTACAAGTCAGTATGATCAACTACAGAAATCCACTAATGGCCCTGGCCGGTTTGGCTCAGCAGTTAGAGCGTCGGCCTGTGGTCCGGAGAGACCTGGGTTCGGTTCCCGCTAAGGGCACGTACCTCGGTTGCAGTTTGTCCCCGGCCCTGGTTGGTCGTGCGAGTGGCAGCCACTCGATGTGTCCCTTCACATCGATGTCTCTCTCTCTCTCTCTCCCTTCCTCTCTCTCCCTCCCACTCTATCTGTACAAAAAATGGAAAAATATCCTCGGGTGAGGATAAAAAAAAAAAAAGAAATCCACTAATGTAAAAAAGTACCTGACAATTTCAAAGACCCAAGAAACCAGACATCCCAGATAACTTACCAATTTTGATCTCCACTCCTCATGACAGAAGACGCTAAACACAGCTTCTCTCGGATAGACCATGGTTCTGTAGGGCCACTACTCAACAGCTTGTGTTCTAAAAGGAGAGAGGGTTTTAGAAGCAACCACAGAGACTCTACTTCAAAGCGCCAAAGTCTAAAAACCTAATACAAAACATCCCAACTTTAAGGACAAAGTGAGCTACCATCACCAACTCTTGTACTCACTTTGCTAGTAAATTATCACCACTGAGTGGGTGGTACCTATTCAGTGAGTACAAATTGCACTCTGAGTACCTGGCAAGATATTTTATTTCTTAAAGACAACCCTGCTTTATAAAACAAAGACAGAGAATGTCAGATTAAGATAAAGCAGTTCTCTCAAAATGCCCCGTTGTGTGTGTGTGTTTTTAAAATCCTCACTGAGGATACTTTTCCACTGATTTCCAAACAGAGTGGGGGGAAGGGAAGGGGAGAGAGAGGGAGAGAAACACCCACGTGAGAGAGAGAATACACAGATTGCTTGCCTCCCTTAAGACCCAGAAGGGGGGGTGGGGTGTAAATCCAACCACAACGGAGGTACTTCAAACCCTTGACTCTTTGGTCTGCAGGCCTACACTCCAACCACTGAGCCAAACCGGCCAGGGCTTTGGAAAAGGCCAGTTTTAAGAACACAGACTTTAGCCATGCCGGTATGGGTCAGTGGTCCACCACGGACCCATGCACCAAGAGGTCGCAGGTTGATTCTGGTCAAAGCACATGCCCAGTTGTAGGCCAAATCCTGGGTGGGTGGGACATACAGGAGGCAGAGGGTTGATGTTCTCTCTCATCAATGTTTCTATCTCTCTCTCCACCTCCCTTCCTTTCTCTCTAAAATCAAAGGGAAAAAAAATTGGAAAAAAAAACAAAAAACATACTTTACCCCAATTTGTGAACTCCAGTGCTTATTTCCCAGGATTCCGAGCAGCCCCCTCACCCCGCCCCTTGCTGCCCCGCCTCCTTAACATAAACTTGTTTCTGCTTTCAATAACCCCCACCCCAACCCCCACATTGAATAGTCGGGCCTGAAAGACCTTTTCGGTCCATGAAACAGAGGAAAATGGTTGAGGTGCACGAACCGCAATTTCCCCAGTAGCAGAAAATGAATTAAAATATCGCATTTCTCTGTGACAGAGTACGGGCCCAGAAACGTTGGTCAGAGTGTGAATGGCTCACAACACGTCTTCGTCTGCACACCCGAGTCTCTAGAGCACCTTTGTTACTAGCCCCACACAGCTCCCAAACATACAAGCAGTCGCTGAGCTGCTTCTCTCAAATCTCGGCGGCCTCCGGAGACATAAGGCCCTACACTTCTCGACTCCCAAACACTGGCCTTCAACGGCGACGTCGAGAGAAAGTCTCTGACGACCCTGGGCTCTCACGTAAATGCTCCTACTCCCTAAGAGTATGACAGAAATCCGGTGTCTGGCCGCGGTTCTACAGACTTTCCACGCAAAAGCAGCGCAGATACTTACTGCCCGTCCCTGCCGCCATCTTGGCCCCAGTCTCCAACCCCCGAGGGAAGACTTCCTGGTACGGCCGGAACCGGGGGAAGTCTGGGAAATAGTTTGGGCGTTTGTTCACGGTGTCTCCTGGGAAATGTAGTCTTCCACCGCAAGACGAACAAGCGTCCTAAACCAGTTCTGTTTTGCGTTCCTGGGAAGGAACGAGCTACAGGACAAAGGATGGTGGCTAAAGCTTCAGGACTTCCTTTAGAGTTCTTGTAAAAGAAGTGCTTGGGGTTCAAGAAGAAGTGTTAAGCGGGAAAAACTCGAAGGTAATCAACTCAAAACTCCGACAGTTGGTAACCCGGACCCACTTAGAGTGGAAAGGTCAACCCGGAACAAACCGTCTTCCAGTCTTACCCGCCCCCTTTCCTTCCGCTGATTGGTAGCTTCAGGCTTCTCTATCTGATTGGCGGAACCAAGGCAGCGCGTAATTTAAAACATTGTATCAGTAACAAAGGTGCACCTCGTGGGCGGAGTTGTGCTTTATAAAGGCCTAAATCCGGGTTCGGCTGTGGGGTGAGAGTGGGCCGGCACCAAGGAGAAACAAGTGTCACCTATCCGGGTGAGTATGCCGCTGTGCTGGAGCCCAGCTCAGTTACTAGCTCTTTTTCTCGCGGAACAGGCTGTCAGAAAGCAGAGTTGCTGCCATCACTTTTTTCTTAGTACCTCTGTCCTCACTGTGGGCTTTGGGGCGAGGTTGGAGAAGGTGTCTAAGGCTACTGATACCACCTCCTCATCACTGATGGGCGAGACACCTTACTTGGAGCATGATCTTATGCTTTTTGAGCCGATTATCTGTTCATTCCAGGACGGGTCGGAAATGCCCCCTCAAACTGGAGTAAATGATTAACTCCTCTCATCCCCTTCCTCTCTTCTGATAGTTGAAGGGAAAAGGAAGTAGGGATTCAGACAGCGATACCAAGGTGTCCTGGAGGAAAGGCATTGTTTTTTACCTAGAATTTGCATTCTTTTCTGTCCTTAAGGTTCTCCTCCCTATCCATTTTAGTCTCTTTTTAGATCTAAGCTGCCCCTGCTGTTATGTCGCGAGGGATCCTTTCTCCGCCAGCTGGATTGCTGTCCGATGAGGAGGTCGTAGTATCCCCCATGTTTGAGTCCACAGCTGCAGACTTGGGGTCCGTGGTTTGCAAGGACCTGCTGTCAGACTGCACTGTCATATCCACCTCCCTGGAAGACAAGCAGCAGGTAAAGGAGTTGGAGAGTGGTAGGAGCAGAAAGTTACACCCTCAGCTTATAGAGTAGTATGAGGTCAAAGACCAGCAACCCTCGGGGTCTGAGAGTTCAATCCAAAATTAAGAGCGTGACAAGTAAAAAAATGTAGTTTTGTGTCCATAAGAACTATTGTTTGCGTTGCATTAATGAAATACCCTCAAGTGCATACTTTCAATTAATCCTTTGAGGGAAGGATAATGGTTCTCTCTCCTTCACCATGAGGCCCAAAGAAATTGCACACGGTCATACTGCCATTAAATAGGTGGAATGGTCCTGCTGGTGTGGCTCAGTGGTTGAGTGTGGACCCATGCATCAAGAGGTGTCACTGATTCGATTCCCAGTCAGGACACATGCCCGGGTTGTGGGCCTGATCCCTGGTGGGGGGCATGCAGGAGGCAGCCAATTGATGTTCTCTCTCATTGATGTTTCTATCTCTCTCTCCCCCTTACTTCTCTCTCTCTAAGATCAATAAAGGCAAAAAAAATTTATTTAGCCCTGGCCGGTTTGGCTCAGCGGTTAGAGCGTATGCCTGTGGTCCGGAGAGACCCGGGTTCGGTTTCCACTAAGGGCATGTACTTCGGTTGCAGTTTGTCCCCGGCCTGGTTGGTCATGCGGGTGGCAGCCACTCGATGTGTCCCTTTCACGTCGATGTTTCTCTCTCCCTCTCTCTCCCTCCCACTCTATCTGTACAAAAAATGGAAAAATATCCTCGGGTGAGGATAAAAAAAAAAATTTTTTTTAATAAAAAAATAAATAAGTAGGTGGAATGTACATTCAGGTTTTAATACCAACCATGGCTTCCATTTATGGAGCCTTTCTGCTAGACTGGGGTTTCTTTTTTTTCTTTTTTATAATTTTTATTTTATTTTATTTTATTATTTTTTTGTTGTTCAGATAGAATGGGAGGGGGGAGAGAGAGAGAGAGAGACATCGATGTGAAAGGGACACATCGAGTGGCTGCCTCCAGCATGACCCAACCAAGGCCAAGGACAAACTGCAACCAAGGTGCGTGCCCTTAGCGGGAACCGAACCCGGGTCTCTCTGGACCGCAGGCCGACGCTCTAACCGCTGAGCCAAACTGGCCAGGGCGCAAAGTTTCTTTTGAGAAATCAGCTGACAGTCTTATCGGATCTCCTTTGTAGGTAATTAACTACTTTTCTCTCGCTGCTTTTTTTTTTTTTTTTTTTTTTTTAATCCTCGCCCGAGGATATTTTTCCATTTTTTGTACAGATAGAGTGGGAGGGAGAGAGAGAGGAAGGGAGAGAGAGAGAGAAACATCGACGTGAAGGGACACATCGAGTGGCTGCCACCCGCACGACCAACCAGGGCAGGGGACAAACTGCAACCGAAGTACATGCCCTTAGCGGGAACCGAACCCGGGTCTCTCCGGACTGCAGGCCGACGCTCTAACCACTGAGCCAAACTGGCCAGGGCTCTCTCGCTGCTTTTAAGATTCTCTCTTTGTCTTGAACCTTTTGCATTTTGATGATGATGTGTCTTGGTGTGGGCCTCTTGGGGTTCATCTTGTTAGGGACCCTCTGTGCCTCCTGGACGTGTATGTCTGTTTCCTTCACCAAGTTAGGGAAGTTTTCTGCCATTATTATTTCAAATAGGTTTTCGATTTCTTGTTCTCCCTCTTCTCCTTCTGGCACCCCCAAGATGCGAATGTTGGCACGCTTGAAGTTGTCCCAGAGGCTCCTTACACTATCCTCATTTTTTTGGATTCTTTTTTCTTTTCGCTGTTCTGATTGGGTGTTTTTTGCTTTCTTGGTATTCCAAATAGATGGTTTGCTTCTTGGCTTTACCTACTCTGCTATTGAATCTGTGTAAATTATTCTTTATTTCAGTTAGTGCCTCCTTCATTTCTGACTATGCATCCTTCATTTCTGACTGGTCCTTTTTAATGCTCTTGAGGCCCTCACTAAGTTCATTGAGCATTCTTATAAGACGTATTTTGAACTCAGCATCTGTTAAGTTCCTTATCTCCATATTGCTTAGTTCTTTTCCTGGAGTTTTGTTCTGTTCTTTCATTTGGGACCTGGTTCTTTGTCTCCTCATTTTGGCTACCTCTCTGTTTGTTTCTGTGTATTACTTAATGAGAGGTATGGAGCTAGCTGAGACCAGATGCTGCTTGTTTGAAAGAATTTAGGAAAACCTGAAGCAGGATCCAAGACAGGCCAATCCTATGGTTAAGCAACTGGCAAGAGCTTGGATGGGTCTCAAAGTTGGGTGGGACAGGGCCTCAGGGAATCACCAGGGAGGGGCAACCAGTGTGAGCCAGGTTGCTGGAGTCCCAGATATGGCGGCTGTCTGCTGCCCCAGGGAAGGGCTCACCAAAGGAACAAAGGCCTCTGACTGCACGTTTGTCCATGAGAAAGCCCCCTCTCCAGCGCTCACTCCAATGCCAAACAGCTCAGTTCTTCCCTGTACGTCTCCAGTGCCCTTCAAGCTGCCTCCCCTCCAAGCTTAGAGGGAGGAAGTCTAATAAGTCTGTGCGCACCTCCCCTCCAAGCTTAGAGGGAGGAAGTCTAATAAGTCTGTGCGCGGGCCCTTTAAGAGGAGCTGCCTGAGGCTCCAGCCGCCTCAGCCTCCCTGAGCCTCAGTTCCCGCTGGTTTTTCCAGCCAGAAGCTATGAGGACTTCTCTTCCTGGCACTGGAACCCTGAGCTGGACATCTGGTGTGGGATGGGGACCCCTCAGTCCTTAGGGAGGACCTTTCCAGCCGAGGTGTCCTCCTGATTTTTATTTGCCACACATGGGTGTAGGACCAGCCCGTCCTCCTGTGCCCCTCCTACCAGTCTCTATGCAGTTGCTTCTTTAATTCCATGGTTGTAGGACTTCCATTCAGCTTGATTTCAGGCAGTTTTGAATGATGGTTGTTCTGTAGTTTAGTTGTAACTTTGATGTGGTTGTGGAAGGACGCGATACTGCGTTTACCTACACTGCCATCTTGACCGGAAGTCCTGGGGTTTCTCATTGACATTTTTTGTTTCTTTGTTTTTGTTAGGTAGATCAATCTATCTATCTATCTATCTCTATATCTATATATGTGTATATATATATTTATGTACAAAACATAGCTCCTGATTTCTACCCAAATAGGAAGTAGTGTTGGGGGCAGGCTGGTTCTTAACATGGCATCCCTGATTTGTCAGAATGTCATGAAGCCTTGAAATTTGATGCAGAACTTTGTTATCAATAGCACTGGTATATTCTTCAGCAAAAACAATTCAGAGTTTGCATCGAGGTCTGGAAGGTGTTCATGTCCCAAAATAAGTAGGGGACCAATAGGGAAGTTAAGGCTTTTGACTTAGGTCTCCTGAGGGGAAGCAGAACATTGCCATGGCTTTTCGCAGCCCATTCCCTTATACCCAGAGTTCAGGCTGGGCATCAGGCCCACCCTTGACTCCCTTCTTTCCACCCCTGAGGCCTGACAAGGCCTTCAGGTTCCCCTCCATTTACTTCCAGAAACCCAGTTGCTGGGCAGAAGGCCCTGCATCCTTGGCAGCTGGCAGACTCTCAGTGACATTTGGGACCAAATAATTCATTGTTATATGGGTCTATCCTGTGCCTTGCAAGATGTTTAGCAGCATCCCTAGCCTCTGCCCACTAAATGTTAAGAGCACCTTCCCACTGTGACAACCTAGAAACCTGTCCTGACATTGCTAAATGTTCTTTGGGAGGGAAATGGCCCTGGTTGAGAACAACTCAACTCAGAAGTCTCCTTTTATAGAGAAAGTTTTGTCAGAGCAGGAGCCTTGA